ACAAGAATGAAGTCCTTGAAACTTCAATCTTTTCTCCGTTGATAAGAATGTTGTTTATTGGTCCAGTGGTGAGGATTTTTGCTTTCTTGACATTGAGATGTAATCCGTATCGAAGACTGTGCTCTTTGATCTTCATCAGTGAGTATTTTAAGTCCTCTTCACTTTCAGCAAGCAAGGTTGTATCATCTGCGTATTGTGTTTGTTGTTAATGAGTCTTCCTCCAATCCTGATGCCACGTTTTTCTTCATAGAACCCAGCTTCTCGGATTATTTGCTCAGCATACAGGTTGAATAATCAAACCTTTTCTTAACTTTTTACAAAAGTGGTCTCGTACAATATTTGTCCTTTTGTGACTAATTTCACTCAGCACCAGGCCCTCCAGGCTCTCTTTTTGAATTTCTATGTTCCCTTCTTATTTTCTTCTCCCATTAACATCCATCCTCGGGGATTTTCAGTTCAATGTTTATTTCTAGAAGCCTTACTTCAAAATGCTCCTAGAGAAACTGCTTTATCTTTCCCTTCCATTTCATTTGCCCACAGACTTTTTGAAGCCCCTCATGTTTGCTCTCTTTCAAATCTTTGTGTTCACTTTCCAACATCTGTCATACTTCTGAATGTACACAGGACCTCAAAATGTTTGTGGGGAAATTCCATTACCTTTTAATGCCACGTTGCCATAAACTTTTTGAAGTCCCCATATACTCTTCATTTATCCAACCAACTCATGGTGACCCTGCATAGGGTTTCTGAGGCTGTAATTCTTTGTGGGAACAGAAATCCGTATCTTTCTAACCACATTGGTATTGTAGCTAAGTGCCTCGAGTTGGTTCCGACCCATAGTGACCCTCTATAGGGTCTCCAAGGAAGCACTGGTGAGCTTGAACCGCCCACCTTGCAGTTCAAACTGACTTTGAAGTCCAGCGCATTGACCCTCAGTGCCACACTAGGATCCCACATTAGGATTATTTAGGGTGTTCTGATATTCAATAGTTCTGTGGCTTTGTGTATTATATCTGCTCAGCCTCATTTACGGAGTTGACTCTCTCAGGTTGTGTTATCTGAGTGGTGGGTGGATTGGTCATGCTGAGGACTCCTGGGAGTCTGGGAGGCGGAGGGAGTGGGCTGGGGACCAGGCACGGGGAGCAGCTAGAACCCTTCGCTCTGACCTCCTGCACAGGTCGCCCGGAAGGAGGGGAGGGTCATCCTGACGTCAGGGCTGCCTTATCACAAGGTAAGGCCCCAGGCCTGCTCCCCAAGCCCACAGGTGGTGGAGAGGTGGGTGTGTACCCGTCCTGTCCTGCTCAGGTACGCTCCCCTGCAGCTCCGGGCCCAGGTCGGGACTGGACGCTGCCTCTTGGTGGACTGCTCCCTCAGAGCCCGGGAGCAAGTTCGAGCTGTGCTCAGACACTTCAACATATGCGTCACCCTCTCTGACGTCTTCAGCCGTTGCCAGGTAGGTTCCAGCTGCCGTGTGGCCCGAGTGCTCCTGAGGGAGACAGGGCAGTGGCCACTCCATGCCCGTGCCTTCCCTCCTCTTCCTCAGCCACCTCCAGATTCTCACGCTCATACAGGGCCTCCAAGGTCTAGGGTTGGCAACTGAGCATCCATACCTGCTACTTCCAGGATTACTGGCAGCATCGTCATCCTGCGGGCCCCAGGGAACAGGGTAGGGATTGGCTGAAATGTGGGCATTTTACTCCCACACATGGGGGTGGGCCAGGACTGCACCCAGATGGCTCACTCCTGGCAGGACCCTCTGCCCCAGGCCAAGCTCTACTCCACGACATCTAGAAAGTTCTGGGCAAGGAAAGTCGCAGTGGGGGAGCGTCGCTGGGTAGGAGGCTCCAAGCCAGAGTCAGGTGGGACCTGATGCCCTCCTGGCCCTTCCTACTCCAGTGCCTCTCGTCTGAGGCCAAGTGGGAGGACCACTGGGCTGGCCGTACCCAGTCTGCTGCCCGAGTCTCTGGGCACAGAGCCCACCTCCCCAGGGCACCTGCTTTCCTTCTGCTGGCTCTCCAGGCTCTGCCCACACCTGAGCCCCCGCTGGGCCCCAGCTGGACAGAGTGGGGGTCTGAGGGGGTGGCAGGAACCATGTGTGCCTCCCTCTCTCTGTCCGCACCGGCCGAGTGTCTTGGAGGCCTGGGAGGAGGTTTAATGAGATTTTCAGAACGTTGGCCGGGCGCTTTCTTGAGAAAACAGGAAGCTGAGTTGTTGGAGGAAACCCCCCTCGGGCCTGGGTAACTTGTGCTGGGGTGTGGCTGAGCCTGCAGACTCAGCCTTCTATAGTCAGCAGCCACACCCCAGGCCTAAGAGGCACAGCCGGGAGGCTCAGGGTTTACCTGGTCAGTGTGTCATTCAGGCTGGGGTGGCTGTGTTTGGCCGAGCCAGCTAGTTGGCCGGCTGCTTTACTGGTTGGCCATGGAGTTGCCTTGGGGCTCTGCCCAGCCAGGTTCTTGAGGCTGCAGACCCCATTGCCACTAATATGGAGCGTCAAGCAGGCCGGGGCCCCCCGCTGCCACTGCTGGGCCGGCTCAGAAGGATGTCCAGTGCTGGGGACACATTTCCATCATCCACTCAGGGAGCCCTCAACACACATTTCCAGTTGACTCCTGGACCTCAGCCTGACCCCAGCCCCACACCCATCCCTGCTCAAAGGCTGGGGAGCCCTGCACTGCCCCCTGCAGGTGGACACCTGGACAGGTCTCAGGTGATGGACTGAGAAGTTGCAGACCCTGCTGTCCCCTGTGGCCACTGCACAGGACTGATCTGGGCTGGCACCCCTCAGGGTAGGTCCGAGAGGGCAAGCACTGCCCCTCCTCCCGGGACCTGCCACTCTCTGGACACTGGCGTAGGTCCACTCTCCCCAGGCTCAGTTGGCCCCCTCCCTGGAGACTCCCCACCCCCAAGCCCTTTCCATTTTCTTTTCCTTCCTTATGCTATTTTGGTGCCATTCCCGAGGGGGGGAGACCTTAGCATCTTCCCAGCAGCCTCGAGGCCCAGGGGGGCAGGGCAGGAAGTGAGCAGCAGCCAGGACAGCCCCCACCCAGCACCTATGTCATCGTCACGCCTGTCCCATGTAGCCCCACCACACATGTATGAGGACAAGAGTCCTGGGGGGGGCCCAATTGCACAGGGAGGGCCGGGTCTCCCAGAAGAGGTGATCCCCAACTCCACTGTGGAGAAGCACCCGGCAATGTGTCTCTGCCTGTGGCACCGGCCCCCTGGGAGAGGGTTAGTGGAAAGCCCACGACCTCTGCTCTCCAAACTGGCAGGGCACGGTGGCCAAGGTTATCCATCGGGAAGGTCCACTGACAGGGCCTTCCCCGTGTTGACCGGCATGGGAAAATATTTTATCAAAGAAGTTGGAGTTTTAAAAAACCCCACGGGGAGCCCTGACCCTCGGACACAATGTCTGTCCCCTCAGCCTCTTTGGTTGGGCTGCCCAGTGTCCCCGGGAAGGAGAGGCCTGCAGCTAGGGAGGGGCCCCCAGGACTGGGACACCGCACGGTAACCCCAACTCAGCAGAGCGGTGGGGCGGTTAGAGAGGCTTGCCTGCAGTGGTGGATGGAGGTCGGGGTGGGGCTCATGGTCCCCACCCCTTATGATCTGTGTTCTCCCTGGATCCTGAGAGCCCGCTGAGAAATGGCAGGACCAGGACTGGAAATGGTACCCAGACCCTGGCCTTTGTCCCACACAGGGTGCTGGGGTCTCGCAGGTACAGAGGACTCAGGAAACCTCAGCCCCTGAACCCTACCCATCCAGAGGGAGACCTAGGGTCTGAGAAGGAGTGGGGGTACAATGCAGACAGCCCCTCGGGGGAGCTCTGAGTGACCTCCTCATCCTGGGGAGAGGTGATAGTAGGGCCTCCCCTCCATTTCCTTTCCCCCGCACCCCTCCCCTTCCTATCAGCCAGAGCCCAGCTTCCCACCACATGGCCCCTGGGGCAGTGAGGGTGGTCCTACCTCCCGGGGCCCCTGGCTCCCTGGGGCCTGGACTTCTCCAAGGCAGATGTGGGAAGGGTCCCATATGACCCAGCACAACCCACCCTTACTCTGCAGCACATGGCCCCTGTCTCCATTCCCGGGCCCCAGCTCACCCTCCCACAGTCTGTGGGCCAACTTGCTGCTATCCTGGGTGGGTTGTGAGTCTGAGCCAGAGTTGTGAGGCTGGGAGGCCATCTGAGGCCACATGACAATCTCTTCAAGTGGCATTTGAGGGGCTGTTTCCCAGGACCTGGCCCCTCGGGCACACCAGGCTCTCTGCCCCCAGGTCACGAAGCGGCCTAGGCAGAGGACAGAGGGTCAGTCCCTCCGGGGACAACATACAGGGTGAGATAGCCTTGGAGGGTCTTGTGTATAAATCCCAGAGCCGATCTGACACCAAGCTGCCAAACCTTCAGCCAGCTCTGTACTCCTTCATGAGTATGTGTCTGGCTGGGAGCTGGCTCTGAGGCTGGGCTGAGGTGCTTCTAATGCGCATGTCCATCAGCTGGTCTCAGGTCCACATAGAAAGGAGCTTCTCTAGCTATGTCTTTGCCTCAGAGCCAGAGATGGCTGCATCCTTCTGAGGCAACATGAAGAGTGCTTACCAGTTGTGTCCTGGCTGCTTTCAAAAGAGGTTAGCGTGCTTACATGAGTTACTAAACACCAACTTGGAGGGGCACACGCGTCCGGTGGCAGAGGCAAGTGGAGGGAGCCCGGGCACATGGAGTCATTCTTGTGGGGATGCCCATGCCCACAGGTGCATGAACACAAGGGTGTGGGTGGACAGACTGACCCAGGGAACGATGCTCAACTGGAGCCAGGACAGTTTTATCTGTGGCAGAGAAGTGGGGCTGGTGCAGGGCCTGGTGACCACTGGCTGGGCACGGTTTCTAGAGCAAGTAAGTGCTGGTCAGCCCAGGACAGGGCAGGCTGTCAGATGTGAAGGAGAAGGGGCTGGCATGTGCAGCCCCTCAGACCTTCCTCTCAGGTCAGGGGGTCAGTCCAGGTGCCTTGGGAATCAGCAAAAGAGCCCAGGAGGCTCTAATGGTAGGGGAATATCATCACTACACTAAACAAAATGTGGATACACCACGTAACCCCCTCTGCCCGTTAGACCTGCCGGTTCCCATAGTCCCCTAACACCCACCCTACCCCAGGGGAAGGGAGGAGGCCCAGGTCAGCAGGGAACAGCCATGCTCTGCTCAGGCCGCTCACCAGCAGGACCTGAGAAACAAGGGAGCCATGTGGCAGTACCGGGAGGCGTGGGCAGAGGCATGACCCTGGAGCTGGGCAGAACCTGGGCTACAGAAGTGGGGTTCCCCCTCAGATGAGGGGAACAGTACACAGCTAGGTCAGCAGCCCTGACCCACGGCTAGAGGAGCTTTTTACACTAAATCATTGAAAAAGTCAAAAGAAGATGCAAGACAAAGGATGCACTTGGTGTGCTTACTAGTATGGTCCCCCAATGCAGGCACACACAACCTGGCTGCACCCCATGCACTGGGCTTCCCCTGCTAGCCCTGACCTGCCCCCTCTTGCCAGCAGACAGGAGAGGAGGGGTCCATCAGCCCTGCTGTTATTCCAGAAACTTAGAACTCACTGCCCCTAGTGTTGATTTCAATTCACAGGGACACTGCAAAATGAAGTCTAACTGTCCCAGCATTTCCCAGGGCTGGTGGCTCAGAGGATAAAGCTCTCAGCTGCTAACCAGAAGGTTGGCAGTTTGAACCCACCAGAAAGATTTGCAGCCTTGGAAACCCTCTGAGGCTGTTCTACTTGGTTCTATAGGAGATACAACTCCATGGTTATAGGGTTAGTCTCTGGAAGCTGGGCATCACATCTGCCTCTGCTCACCAGGGCACCAGTGTGCTTCACACACACGGAATGTGCCCTTTTGAAGATTGATCATCATCTCAGGAAGTTCCCTGGAGCCTATGTGCCCCCCAGCTCTCCAGGCTGGCAGAGTTACATTTGGGGGGGCCATGTGGGACTTACCTTGAGGTTTGCCTTCCCTCCTTCCTACTGCCTTGGGGGTAATGGGTCCCCCCAGGGCTTGTCAGGACTAGAAGCTCCCCCTCTTCAAACACCAATGCTGAGGTGGTTAAAGAGGTGTGGGGGTTCCTGCTAAAAGCCAGAGCAGAGGGGGTCCTAGGAGCAGAGATAGCTCTGTGTGAGCACTGGAAACTCTGAGCCTTCATCCCAGGTGGCAGCAGTTGGAAGTGGGTCCCTTGGAAGACCCAGGCTAGATGTGAATAGAGCCAGCCAGGACAGTCCCCCCAGGACTGGGGACCCTGCACCTGGGCGGCTAAACCCAGATGTCATTTCTTCCCGGAAGTCCTCAGTATTTCCCCCACACTCTCTGGGCCTCCACCGGATTCTGTCCCATGGGAGAGCCAGCAGCAGCAGAACGGCCCCCTGACCCTGGTGGGTAGTTCAATGGGGTCAGACCCCAGGCTAGGAGGGAGGAGAT